ATCGCGAAGAGTACATTTCAGTTGTCTCAGGTTGGGTGCGAGTAGTAGGACGTCGTCTGCAAAGCGCAAGTTGGTAAGAAACGTCGGTTTGGTTTGTCCCTCTTTGATGCCAAAGCCCTTTCGTGTCCAGACTGGCTCGAGTTTACGGAACACGTGCTCGAGCAGCGCGCTGAACAAGTAAGAACTTAGAGGGTCGCCTTGTTTAACGCCCCGTTCAATACTGAATCCTCTGCTGTTGACGTCGGTACGCACTGTCGCAGTCTGTCTATTGTAGAATTTCTGCATCATGGTGATGTAGGGTGTAGGCACACCTTGATCGCGGAGAGCTTCCCAAAGGCAGTGGTGATATACGCAATCGAACGCCTTCTTGAAGTCTATCGCTGCCGTCCATAGATTCATTTGCCATTCGTTGGATTGTTCGAGTAGCATCGTTGTGGTGAATAAGTGGTCCTCCGTGCAGAAGCCTTTTCGGAAACCCGTTTGGTCAGGTGATTGTTGTGAGTCGAAGTGCGCCTCGAGTCTGTTGCAAAGCAGTCGGGCCACTAGCTTGCACAGCAACGGTATGATGGCAATTGGTCTGTAGTTATTGGGTAGTTGTGGGTCCCCTGACTTGTGTATGACGCTGATTGTGGTCCGTCTCCATTGCTCTGGCGGTGTCTGCTCCAGCGCCAAGATGTCGTTAAAGAGCTTCAACAAGTGCTGTTCGATGGTGCGCCCTCCTGCTTTCAGAAGCTCTGCGGTAAGACCTGCCGTATCTTTACACCTGCCGTCTCTCAGTTGCTTCACTGCCTGGTGTAGTTCGTCGTCGGTGAAAGGTGGGATACTCTGTAACATGTGAGTCGTCGTGTTGTTATTGGCGTGGGAGGTTACACTCTCCTCCGCTGGCGGATGAGCTTCGGGGGGGGGGGGGGGAACAGTACAGCTCTCTCGTAGAAATCGGCGAAAACGTCAACAATCCCATGTCGGTCTGTCTCGTGGACACCGTCTGCCGTCGTCATGGCTGGTATGAGGTCCTTCTTCTTGCTGGATATAATGCCGGATATGTTGTTGAGGCCCCGGAACTTGGTTATGATATCGTTCAGCGCCACCTGCCGCTGAGCTCTTTTAATGGCCCGGTGCTGTCGTAGAATACGTTTGCTGAGAATTGTCCTCGTGGCTGTGTCGTTGTGCGGCGTGTTCCGGCGTTGTGTGATGAGTGCTTGTAGGTATCGTCGGGCTTCGTCGTCGACACAGGCAGTACCTTGTTGCTGTTGCGGTTCATGCATGTGTTGATCCTCCCTCTGCTGTTGATGATCTTTGTAAGCTGCTCTACAGGCCTCTTCGGTGCGCGCGCAGGCGTCCTGAGTGCTGCTTGTCGGGTCGTTGCACGTCAAAAATTTCTTTAAGTGCTGCTGGAAATCCGGGTCGTTAGGTTGCAGCGGCTGGTGAATGTGGTTGCGTCGTAGTCGTCGCTTTCGTCGTGGTTGGCATGTCGGGCCGTCCAGTGCTAATCGGAGGTGTACGGCCTGGTGGTCGGAGCCGAGGCCAGGGCAAATCGTAGCGAATGCGTCGAGCACCAGGTGCCGGGCCTTCCGGTCCACCAGTATATAGTCTATCTGCGTTTGTGTGTGTCTGGCGCCAGTGCGTGCGTACGTGAAGATATTATGCGGGCGCTTGCAGAAAATGGTGTTCGCGATGATGAGTTTCCGTACGCAGGCCCACGATCGTAGCCAAATCCCACGCTTGGTGCACATGTCCAAACCGTACCTTCCGAGAGTGTGCCGGTCCACGTCCTTGGCGTTGCCGTCGTCGCCGTCGTCGCATTTTCTCCCGACTTGTGCATTGAAGTCTCCTGTGAGCACGGTCGTCAACTTCTGCTGTTGGGCATCGGTGTGGATCTCTGTGAGCACGTCGTACACGGTCTGCACGTGCTGATCACCGTAACCCCCATGTGGAAAGTAAGCTGTGATGATCCGGAGTGAGTGCTTCCCGATGTCAACGTCAATGTATGCAATTCGTTCGTTCACAGCTTTGAATCTTCGTATGCGTCGTGCGTGCTGTTTGTGAACAAGAAAAGCAACCCCACGAGTTGGAGAGTCGTGTCCTGAAGCTGCAACTATGTGTTCACCAGGCTCCGTGACCCAATATTCCCATTTTTCTGTCCTCCTTGTTTCGTTGAGTGCTACAACGTCACATTGCACGTCTGAGAGCTCTTGCACAAGTAAGTCAACCGCTGCGTCATTAGTGAGGCTCTGGGCATTTTTATGTATAATCGTAAAGTTACTGTGTTGTGGGGTTGCGGTGGTTGTTGTGACTGCTGATTGGAGGTATGTATTGTCGGTCTGTATTGTCGGGTTGTGGTTGAGGTGATCAGGAGGCCCCCAAAAAACTCCGATGATGTCTCCTCATCCTTCTCCTCATCCTCCTTTTCCGCCGTCTCAATCTCCTCATCTTCCTCCCCCACGTGTTCACCGAAGCGCTTTCACAACGGCTGGGGGAACGCATGGTCCAATAGCGTGGCCAAACTTTGCCCAAACGTTTGGCCATATATGCGTATCCTACAAGGCAGGGGCGGCCGTGATTTGCCGTAGATGTCCTCGATCCGCCGCCCACTGTGCTGCCACATGGGGTGCACGGCGTGCCGGAAGTCTGGGGTCCTGGTTAGCTCTTTTCTAAAAAACTCCCCCTGGGGCTTCGGCCCAATCCGCTGGCCACCCGAGAAGCTTGCCCGGAACCGGGAGGGAAGGGTTTTTTTCCACTCCAGTTGGCTCCAACCAAGATGGCCTCCAAGACGGCCAAGATGACCCAAGATGGCCTCCAAGTCGGTCTCAAGAAGCCTTCCAGACGGCCAAGACGGCCCCAAGAGGGCCCTAACTGTCCTCCAGACGGCCCTAGAGGCCCCTCAGACTCCCCAAGTGGGCTCCAAGACGACTTCCGTAGGCCCAAATCGTTGTTTTTCTTACTGATGTTAGCGTTCTCGCCTTTTCGGGCTTCCGACGCTCCAAGACGGGCCATTGTTCCCCAAGATCGCCCCAAGACGGCCAAGGAGGCCCCCAACAGGCCCGCGAAAGCTCAAGAGGGCCTCAAGACAGCCCAAGAGGCCCCCAAGACGGCCCCAAACTTCTCAGATGTCCCCAAAGCGCCAAAAGAAGGACCCACGACTGCCCAGGAAGGGCCCAAGACGGCCTCCGAAAACCCCCAAGAGGCCCCCAAGAGGTCCTCAAGAGGTTCCAGGAAACCCCTGGAAGACCCCAGGATGCCGCCCCCATGATGCCCCCAAGGGCCCCTCCCAAGGCCCACAGGAAATCACGAAGAGCCCCAAGAGGGTCTCAGGAGGCCTGCTCTTTTTGCTCCTCCGCCGTCTCCTGCCTCCCCTCCTCCTAAATCTTCTTCTCCCCAATGTTCCCCAAAATGGTTCCGCAACGGCTGGTGGAACACATAGTCCAATAGGTTGGCCTGACTTTGGTCAAACGTTTGGCCGCATGGGCGTTTACAAAAAGCAGGGTGCAGCGGTGATTCGCCGTAGGCGTTTTCGATCCGCCGCCCGCTGTGGTCTTGCCACAGGAGCGCACGGCGTACCAAATGCAAGCATTTCGTGGTTCCGGCTACGATTCCCAACGGGACCTCGTCCGATCGCGCCAGCCATCTGGAAAGCACCCCAAAACACGTTGCCCGAATCGCTTCCAAGATGGCCAGGTTGGCCCGAGATGGTATCCGAGATGCCTCTAAGACGGCCAAGACGGCCCCAAGAGAGCCCAAGATGGCCCAAGATGAGCCCAAGACAACCCAATATGCACTCAAGACACATCAAAATGGCATCGATATGGCCCAAGATGCCTCCCCAAGACGTCCTCCAGGAAGGCCAGAAGAGGCCAAAGCCATTGGCCTGTTCTTCTAAGGTTGTGGAAGGAGTGAAACATGTGTTTCTGGTCGGTGCTCCGACGGCCAAATAAGCCCACGAGATTGCCCCAGCACGCCCAGATGGCCAAATGACGGCCCAAGAGGCCCCCTGAGACGGCCCCAAGACGGCCAGGACCCCTCCAAGACGCCCAAGGTGCCCCCAAGTCGGCCCAGAAGCGCTCCAGACGGCCCAGAAAGGTGGCTAAGACTGCTTCCGACGGCGTCAGACAGGACAGGAACGCCCTCAGACGGCCAAAGTGCCTCCAAAGGAGCGTCCAAAGGCCTACAAGATAGCCAAACAAGCCCCCACGAGCCCTCGAAGAGGCCTCTAGGACACGCCCTTGAAGCCCCAAAGGTGCACCGAGAAGCCTCCTCCTCCTCCTCCTCCTCCTCCTCCTCCTCCTCCTCCTCCTCCTCCTCCTCCTCCTCCTCATTGTTCCTCCCTGTCCTACTCTTCTTATTTATCCCAAGCGTGTTTCCCGACGGGTTTCCACAGCCGATAGCTTGACCGAGCTCTGGCCGCAACCACATAGGTGTTTCCAAAAGGCGGAGGGGGCGGTAATTCGCCGTACGTACGTCTTCGATCCGCCGCCCCCCGTGGCCTCGCCACACGGGTGCCTGGCGTGCAGAGGGTTTCAATGATTTGGCCCCTGTGCAGATTCCCACTGAGGTCTCGGCCGATCGCGCAGGCCCCACGGAAGGAGCCGCAAAGACCTCAACGTCCGAGACCGATCTCCTCACGACGGACAAGATGGCCTAAGACGGCCTCCGAGGCGGACCCAAGACGCCATTGAGACGGCCAAGATCGCTTCAAAACAGCCCAAGATGGCCCCAAGACGAACACGAGATGGCCCAAGATGCATCCAAGGAGGCCCAAGATGTCCAAGACGGCCCATGATGCCTCCAAGACGCCCAAGATGCCACCCCAAGGCGGCTCCGAAGCGCCTGAATAAGGCCTGAAGATGGTCCAGAGAGGTCGCCGTGACGGCTTCTGGCGGCGTCAGACGTACTAGGAACGCCCTCAGACGGCCAAGGAGCCTCCCAAGGAGGAGGGGGCGGACGAGTAGGAGGAAGAAAATGGGGGGGGATGAGCAAGGCACCGGCCGTTCTTGCGGCGGGGCCTCGTGCCCATGCCGTCCCAGAAGTGGTTCTGGCTGCCAGAGTCCGTGTCTGGGTCGTACTCGCAGCCACCGCCTGCCACGAACCTCTTGTAGTCCTCTCTGCCAAAGAAAAACACGATCCTGATCCCAAAATCGCTGGTTGGCTGAGGATTCGAAAATCGGCTAAATATTTCGGGGCATGGTTTGCGTTCGCCGGTGCCCCTCACGCAGAACCCTACCCCGAAATCGCCCTCCCCAAAAAAATCGCAAAGAGTCAGTGTCTTGCGTTGGCGCTCGCGCTTTCGGGATCGGACGGTCGTTTTTAAGCTACACTCGACCAAGATGATAAGGATGCGCGGTCAAGATGCAAAAGCCTTGGAACGCCGTGTTGATGTGTTCCGTGCGGGGCGCAGCATAATGCCGAAGGATGCCGAATAGCGAAGGGGCAAGGCTGCAAGGGTAGCTTTGGAAAGTTGCACCATCCTTACTTATCTGGAAACTTGGGTACCAACTCTGTACGGGTTCCCAGCGGTTTCAAAATGGTTTCCCAACGGTTTCGGAGGAGTTCCCCAACGGTTTCGGAGGAGGTTTCCCGACGGTTTCGAGGAGGTTGCCCGACGGTTTCGGGGAGGTTTCCCGACGGTTTCGGACAGGTTCCCAACGGTTTCGGAGGAGGTTTCCTGACGGTTTCAGATAAGGTTCCAAACGGTTTCGACAGAGGTTTCCCGACGGTTTCGGAGGAGGTTTCCCGACGGTTTCGAGGAGGTTGCCCGACGGTTTCGGGGAGGTTTCCCGACGGTTTCGGACAGGTTTCCAGCGGTTTCGGAGGAGGTTTCCTGACGGTTTCGGAGGGGTTTCCCGACGGCTTCGGCGAATGATTCCCGATGGTTTCGGGGACGATGTCGGTGCACGTTTGACTCGGTTCCGACGCGGCTCGGAAGAAACCGGAGGGCTCGGGGTCGACTGCAGGCCGACTCACCTTGCCCCTCCCCCCCTGCCAAACCCGCCCCGCCAATCGCCCCCCCTGGCCCCAACCCAGCCTCCACCAACAACCCCCTCCCAACCCCCTCCCCCCGCCCCCTCCCGGCCGCCCGCCCGTCCGACGACAAGTGCGGCATCAACGGCATCCTCAAGGCCAGCCAGGGCAGAGGGAGAAGAGGGGAGCGAGAGGTTCGGAGGAGACGCGGGGGAGGGAGGGGAGGAGAAGGGAGGGGCGAGCGAGGGAGGGGGGAGGAGAAGGGAAGGAGAGGAGGGGAAGGGAGGGAGGGGAGGGGAGAGGGAGGGAAGGGGGAGGGGGAGGAGGGGGGAGGCTCGGGAAGAATGAGGGCGTGCGTTCATTCTTCATTTCCCCACTCGGTGCGCAGCTCTCGATGATTGTCGACATCGCTCTCCAGACGATCCCTGAAATCACAATTCACCAACAACGAATACGAATGTGGCGCGCAGAGAATGCGCGCCTGCGCCACATTGGCCGGGCCAGCTAAGGCAGGGGGGTGACGGGAGGGAGGGAGGGCTATAGGCTATAGCGTAGATGGGGGCGGAGGCGAGGGAGGTGAGGGAGGTCGCAAGCGCACCTCCGACTGTGCCTCCGCTCCAGCTGCGGCAACACCAGGCGGCCCAGGGCCTACACGCAGCGTCGGCGTCTACGGGCGGTTCCTCCGCCTCCTCGCCTCTCCCCACTCTCCAGGCCGCGGCGGCCGCCGCGACGACAGCGCAGAGGGGGCCCTCTGCGGGAAGGGAAGAGGCCGCCGGGTTAGTGTACAGTGTGGCGTGGGGGAGGGAGGTGGGCGGGGAAGGGAGTAAGGGGATTTAGAGTTCAGGGTGAGGTCGGATGAATCGAAGGGCGCATGCAGAAATCAGTGCAGGGCCAGACCACAGGCTGCACTAGGCTTACTCGGGATCTCGAGGAGCGGAAACGCATACTGAGAGGAGGCGGCTACCCTCAGGGGCACAGGGGCCCTCAGGGGCCCTCAGGGGGCCCTCCTACGTTCATTGCTCATCAAAATGTTGAGCTTAGCCACGCCGGCGGTCGCTGGCAGCGCGATTCCCTGGGCCCTGAAACCCTGGAGCACTGCTTCCACCAAACCGCCGCGGGACTCACCGCACTTCACAGTGCGAAAAAGAGCCTGGATGCAGGTCAGCACAGCCACCATCTCCTTCGCCGTCTTGAGGCGAGTCGCGACCACATCCTCGAAGGACGTGATCGCAGGTTTCACCCGATCGCCTGCGGCGGCGGGCGGGCAGAGACATACTAATACTATACGTCCTCCTTGGAGGCGCGCGTCCGACCCAAACATATAGTATACCCATCTTGTAGTATATCGTTTCCCGAGCGGCGAGCGGCGTGGCCAGAAAGCGCACGCCACGACGCATATACTATAAGAGTTCTCGGTGCGCGCGTCGCCCCTGGGGTGGCGACGCACATACAGTATAAGTATGTTGGGGTGATGCCGAGCAAAAGCAGCGGGGGGAGGAGCGGGAGGAGGGGGGCCATCTTCCCCCCTTACGCCTCTCCTCCCTTCTTCCTCCCTCCTTCCCCTCCTTCCCTGACTCCTTCCATCCCGCCGTCCCTCCCCTCCCCTTCCCCTCCCCCCACTCCCGCCTCCCCTCCCCGCTCCGTTTCCCGCGGAGCCTCCGTGGGCCTGAAGAGCTGCGGTCAAGCTGACGTTGGCCCTGTACACCTTCCAGGACTTCAGCAGCTCATTCGCAGAGTCGAGCTTCAACAATCCTTTGAGCTGGTCGGCTGGGATCTCGGTGGCTCCGGCCAACACCTTGTCCGCCACCCCGTCGAGATCGGCCTTGGTCGCCTCCGCGTGCATGGAGGTGACAAGATCCGTCAGCAGCTCAGTGGCCTTCTGCGCGCCCGCGGCTTCGGCGCGCTTCACGACCTCGGATTCCTTCTCGAAGAACGTCTGCCACATCTGAATGAAGGTGTCCTGCTCGGCCCCGGAGCAATGCCAACACTGCTCCGCCCCGGACTTCGCCTTCAGGTTGGCGGCAGTCAAAGCCTCCAGATACATCTTGAGGTTCTTCGCGTTACCCACGATGGAGTCGTTGATCATGGTGCCCTCGCCGAAAGCGGCGGCCTCCGAGAAGTCCGCCAGCTCAAGGGGCCGAGCCGCCAGGAACATCGATGCCAGCGGCCCGAACCCCAGGCAGACCCAACGCACATCCACCTCGAGCTCGCCCACCTTGACCTTGCGATTCGCCAGGGTCCCCTCCGCCTGGTCGGACAGGAAGCTCCCCAAGAAGGCCGTGTCCTCGGTGACCCCGTTCAGATTCACATCCTTCATATCATCCACCACGCCGCTGGCGAACGTTCCAATCGCGCTGCCGACCTCGAACTTGCCATTGGAAACCGCCTTCGCAAGGGCTGCGTAGATGCCGCGGTACTTGCCGCCCACGCGCACGTCGAGCTGCTCGAAGAACTTCGCCTTCAGGGAACTCTTCAACGCTAACTTCAGATCGCAGGCCGCCGCTCCCCAGTGCTTCATCGCGCCAGCGCTCGTCCCAGCAAAGAACAGGTTGTAGCACTCCCAGAACGTGTTGTCAGCATCACTCGGGATCTCCTGCGGGAGCTCGGCCGGCATCTTCGCCAGGGTAACGTTGACGAGCAGCAGCGCGATCTTGTCCGTCACGTCGGGAACGAACCTGCCGCCAACCAGCTTCTCCTTCGCGAAGTTGGCAAGGCCCTTGGATAGCGCCCGGCGCTGCTGGACGCGCAAGTCCCAGTCCTTGATCTCCTGCTCGGTGAAAACGCCGTCGAGGCCGAGAGAGCCCGCCTCGAAGAGGAGGGCGAGGAGAAGGGAGGGCAGGGGGCCAACAAAGCCTCAGAGCCTCATTATCATCATAATCATCTGCCTCTTCCTCATCATCATCTCCCTCCTCCCCCTTCTCCTCATCATCTCCCTCCTCATCATCTCCCCTTCATCATCTCACTCCTCATCATCTCTCCGTCTCCTCCTCATCGTCTCCCACCGTCTCCTCCTCATAATCTCCCTCCTCCTCCTGCGGAGCCTTCTCGAGTGCGCGGTTCACCGCGGCGTTCTCGAAGGATTTGGCCAACTCGGCGATCGACGGAGCGCTGGCGGGGAGCTCGCCAGCGTGCACTGCGTGGTGGACGTGCTTCAGCGAGGCCTGGACGGCCGACCAGTAGAGGGTCGACTTGGCCGCGACCATCGCCTTCTTGAAGATGGACTGCTGGTCGGTGATCCTCGTCGACGCATCCTTGCTGAGCTCGTGGAACTGTTTAGACGCCGTGGCAGATATCTTCGCCAGCAGGCGAGAGTGCGTCACCCACGTCTTGACCGTCTCCTTCACGTTGACCTCGAGCAGGTTGGGGTTCGCCCGGGGGGGGAGATTCGTCAACGCAGCGGCGAGCTCAGCCTGCATAGCCTTGTCGGCGACCTTCTGGTCCATGCTGGCGTTCACGCGCTCAAGGATCATAATCGCCAGAGGGAATAGCTTCAGCGCCTTGCCGAATCGGCTCTCCTGGTCGGTTGCCCTGGTCTTGATCTCGGTCAGCTTGGCGTCGTCGGTGACGGGCTCGTACTGCACGAGACCCCGGAGGTCATTGAGGTCGCGCTTCAGCTCCGCACAGCCGATCGTGATAGTCTGCAGGAAACCGAGGTACTGGTCGATTCTGTCAATGCCCTCAGGCGTCGCTTCAAGGACCCTCAACTCGTCCATCAGCTGGCTCATGATGGCGTGCTCCTGTTTCTTGTGAAGCTCTGGCTCGCCGAGGTGCGGTTTGAGGCAGGAGATCCCGTGCTTCGGGAGGTTCTCCCGATCGCCAATGTCCAGCTTGAGAGCCCAAGCAGCGAGGTCGTTCTGCTCGATGTCCTGGGCCAGGGACTTCTTCAAGACGGAGTGGAAAGCTGATGTAGACACTTGTACGCCCGCGGCCTTGCAAGCATCCGGGCACTCTTCGAGGTGCTCCGCCGAGCCAGTCGTCGCGGCGAGGCACTTCACGACTTCGTCCAGCGCCTTCAACTTGGTGGTGCACTCCCGCGAGTCCTCCAGGGCCTGCAGCCCGCGGGTGCAGGAAGCTGAGCTGCCACTGGCAACGTCGTCGATGGCATCGCCGATAGACGTCAGGGCCATGATCATGGATGGCTGCACACGCTTTTCCAGCTTTTTCAGATGCGTTGCAATCTGCGCCGATGTAATATTCTTGAGCCCTGCGGGAGAGGCCGCCATCTGGAGCACGTGGTTGGCGCCCAAGTTCACGGACTCGCTGGTCTGGATCTCCTTGGCCTGCTGAACGGCCTGCTTGCTCTCCTTGCCCCCCCCGGCGGCGGTCTTCTTCCTGCTGGCCCTGCCGCCGATGCCGTTAGCGTCAGCGCCGGCGCCGTTGCCGCCGCCGTTGCCGTTGCCGCGGCCACCCCCCGTGCGGGGCTTCTTCCTGCTGGGCTCGGAGACCGCCGCCGCGCCGTTGGCGCCCTCAGAGGCAGAGTCGGAGTCGGCGCTGTCGAAGTTGCGCCCTCCCTGAGGCTGGCCCCGCTTGGCTCCGGCCGCTGCGGACCCGCTGCCCTTGGCGTTGGAGCGAGCCCGCGATCGCGCCCAACCAGTCGGTCGTTGGGCTGTCCGGGCTGCTGGCCAGTTCTGCGGCCAGCGTCTTCTTCCTCTTCGGCATCTTCAGGTTGAACTCCCTGCTGACGTCCCCATCCTTATCCTTGCCCCGCTTCGACGTAGCACCGACCGTTGCTGCCGCTGCCTTGTAGGCGTCCGCGATCTGGCCCTTCCTGCAGGCGTGCTCGCTGTCGCCGATCCTCTTGGTGCGCGAAGCCTCGACGACCGAATCGCGCGTGAGCTTGCTGGTCCCCACCTTTTTTTTTGTTATGTTCGACTGTTGATGGCCCAGCCGTTCGTGGATCGATCGGGCCCGATCGCCCGACGTCGATAGATGCGGCGTCGGCCTGCCCCGACGCAACATTCTCGAATCGACGATGGGCGATCGGACTCGATCGATTCTCGAAAAATTGGGCCGCAAACGAGAATAGAATATCTCACACCCAACCGCCGGGTTCGACGGAATCGCGGAATCGTCCTCGGGATGCCTATGTTCCTGGTCCTCGAGAATGACGCCCTTGACTTTCTTGCCCCCCCTCTTCATGGTCTGGTGCGCCGACGCGGGCGGCTTGAAACCGAACCATGCCTCATGCGTCTCGAGTGGCCAGAAGATTCCCAGGTTCTCGGAAGCCCTGAACTGCTCAGATTCCTTGATCTCGGCCAGCTCCAATGGTGGGATCGAGCCGCGCTTCACGCGCCCAGACGGGTTCGAGTCCTGCTGAGCCTCGTAGCTCGCGAGCCCATCGTTGTAGGATTTCTGATTGTCGGCATCGTTCAGCAGCTCGGCCAACTCATTCTTCGTCTTCTCGCGCCACGCAATCTCGGGAGAGAGAGAGATTGGCAACGCATCATCACAATTATCCCCACTCCCTTCCTCCCCCTCCTCCTCATTTTCCTCCTGCTTCTCCCTCCGCCTCACCGTTCTCTTCCATTTTTCCTCTGCTCGTCGCCATCTTCCCTCCACGCAAGGCTGCTGTCGGGGGCGCCTCGATGCGCCCCTTGCAGGACCTGCAGGTGTCCGGGACGGCGCCGAACTCCCTCCCCAAGCGCTCGATCTCCGCCTGATCTCAGCAAGTCTCTCTCTCTGTCTCTGTCTCTGTCTCTCTCTCTCTCTCTCTCTTCCTCTTCTCTCTCTCTCTCTCTCTCTCTCTCTCTCTCTCTCTCTCTCTCTCTCTCTCTCTCTCTCTCTCTCTCTCTCTCTCTCTCTCTCTCTCTCTCCGACCTGGAGCCCTGGCCCCCTGGCCCCGGGTCCCTGGTTCTCGAGAGAGAGAGAGAGAGAGAGAGAGAGGAGAGAGAGAGAGAGAGAGAGAGAGAGAGAGAGAGAGGAGAGAGAGAGAGAGAGAGAGAGAGAGAGAGAGAGAGAGAGAGAGAGAGAGAGAGAGAGAGAGAGAGAGAGAGAGAGAGAGAGAGAGAGAGAGAGAGAGAGAGAGAGAGAGAGAGAGAGAGAGAGAGAGAGATAGAACAATGACAATGATCAGAGGAGGGGCGCGGGAAGTGGAGCCTTGCTACGTTTGCACCAGCGGCACGAGCACGCCACGGCGCGGACGGGGCGACCCCCCCTGCTCGACGCCGGGGCGCCGAAGACGTCGGATCCGCCAGTCGTCGATCCTGGCATTGCTTTTGGCGCCGATCGGGTGCTGTGGCGTTGGTGTCCGGTGACGCGTGACCTGCTGTCCAGAGCGGACAAATAACCTCGGCGGCAAACGGCAGCGGCATCGGGAGGGGAGACGACGCCCCTCGAGTCGATTCAAGTATTCATCCGCTGAAGGCCCCCTCGTCGCCGCGGCTGGACGCGGCTCGGAGAACTGGTGCATGCGCGGACCCCGAGAGGCGTCCAGGGGTCGACAAACATGATGGACCCACGAACCCGGAAAGGGATATATATATATATATATATATGATATAGACATGCGCAGCATGGTCACGTTTTCACGATACCCAACTGGGCGACACATCACAAAACATCCCACGAGACACCCCGCGGAACATCCCACGAGACACCTCGCGAAACATTCCACGAGACACCTCGTGAAACGTTCCACGAGACACCCCGCGAAACATTCCACGAGACACCCCACGAAACATTCCACGAGACACCCCACGAAACTTTCCACGAGACACCCCACGAAACATTCCACGGGGGTGCGACTGGGTGTGGTCGTGCTGGGGTGTGGTCTTGCTGGGGTGTGGTCGTGCTGGGGGGGTGGTCGTGCTGGGGGGTGGTCGTGCTGGGGCGTGGTCGTGCTGGGGCGTGGTCGTGCTGGGGCGTGGTCGTGCTGGGGTGTGGTCGTGCTGTGGTGAGGTCGTGCTGGGGTGGTCCGCACCCTGTGATTTAGCACCGCGAGCAACGACAGGCAACCACTCAACCAGGACAACCACGAGGAGACGCGTAACGCACGCAACGGTACGGGCGCCACTCATCAAACACACAGGGAGTCCGTGGCTGCATCGGTTGAGTGGTTGCCTGTCGCCGCCCCCTGGGCGGATCCCCTCGTAGTCGTCGTCGTCGTCGTCCGGCTGACCCTGGGGGTGCAATCGCCAGACGGCCCCGGGGCCGCGCGGCTGACCCTGGGGGTACACACGCCGCGCGGCCCCTCCGCGGGCAAGCGCGCGCCCGCAGGGGAGTCCCCCTGCTCTCACTGGGGGTGCGAGCGACGCGCGGCCCCGCCCGCGGGCGTGGAGAGCCACGCGAACCACGGAAGTTGGAGGAGGAGGAGAAAGGAGGAGGAGGAGGATATAGAACCGCATGCATGGAAAGGGACCCACGTGTTTTCACGCTTGTTCCGCTCTGAGGCGAAAGGGACCCACGTGTTTTCACGCTTGTTCCGCTCAGGGGCGAAAGGGGCCCACGTGTTTTCACGCTTGTTCCGCTCTGGCGCGAAAAGGACCCACGTGTTTTCACGCTTGTCCCGCTCTGAGGCGAAAGGGGCCCACGTGTTTTCACGCTTGTTCCGCTCTGGGGCGAACGGGGCCCACGTGTTTTCACGCTTGTTCCGCTCTGGCGCGGAAGGGACCCACGTGTTTTCACGCTTGTTCCGCTCAGGGGCGAAAAAAGGCCCACGTGTTTTCACGCTTGTTCTGGCGCGAAAGGGACCCGCGTGTTTTCACGCTTGTTCCGCTCAGGGGCGAAAGGGACCCACGTGTTTTCACGCTCGTTCCGCTCTGAGGCGAAAAGGACCCACGTATTTTCACGTTTGATCCGCACAGGGGCAAAAGAGACCCACGTGTTTTCACGCTTGTTCCGCTCAGGGGCGAAATGGGCCCACGTGTTTTCATCGCGTAAAAACACACGGGTTCGTCCCCCTGGAGAGGGCGAACCTATAGGCACACACGTAACAAAACAAGCGTTTCGCTCGAGACATCCTGGGCAAACTCTGCGGAGCAAGCGTTTCGCTCGAGACGCCCCTGCGCCTCCTCTGCACGCGCGAGACGACCTCAGACCGAAATCGATTTCGTGGAGGGGGGGTGCGATTCCTTCTCGGTCCTCACTTTCGACTGCCAATCGACCCCTGAGCGAGGGAGTGAAAGAAAGGGAACGGTGGAGAGGAGGAGGAGGTGAGCGGAGGAGGGAGGTGGATGAGGAGGAGCTCTTGGCGGCGGCCAGCTATGCCAGGTCAACAGGTCCGCCCGCCGCCAAGCCTTGCAAGCCACCCCCCAGATTACCCATGAGGTGCGCTGCCGGAGACCAGAGCTGCCACCAGCCCCTCGCGCCGGTCTCGAATTAAGCCGATGCCGCGCCAGCAACTCGGGCGGAAGAGGAGGGGGTGGGATCAGACTGGGTCAGGCTGCCCCCGAGCCTGTGACCCGAAGCTGAAGGAAGAGGATTCCTTTTTCTTCAGAGGAATCCGTTTCCTCCTAGGTCCTAGATCCCTAGAGGAAGAAGAAGAAGGTCTAGTTCCCCCCGGCCGCTGGCAAATGAAGATCCCCATCCTGGGCCTCTCACCCCCCTCCGAGATCTCGGCGGCCGAAGGCTCGGCGTCGCCGTCGATCTCGTTAGCTGGGGCCCCGGGGAAGGCTGGAGGCGCCGGAGGCCCGGCGTCGTCGTCGACGTCGATGTAGTCGAACCCGTCAGGGAAGAGGGCCTCCATGAAGTCGCCAGGTGCGAGCGGGCTGGCCAGGCGCATGTCAGTGAGGGAATTGTTGTTGTTGACGATGGTGCCGTCCTGAGGCTGATGCGCTACCCCCCCCCCTCGGGCCCCTTTCCGTTCCTGTCCTGCTGCTGCTGCTTCTCCTCCTCCCCCTCCTCCTCCTCCTCCTCCTCCTCCAATGCTACTCCTCCTCCCCCCCCCATTTCACTCTCCTACTTTTCATTCGCGCGGCCCCTCAATCATGAACCGACCATTGCGCAATGGAGGATTCGCCACCGACAGGATCGAGTGCTCCGAACCGTCGGACAGCGGCGAGGTCGGTTCCATGGCACCACAGATCTCCAACAACAGTGAAAAACCCACAATGCCAACCATTAGCGCAGCAGTTGCGCAGTGCGCCTCGAAGGCGTTCCCAGCGAGATCGCCTAGATCCGTGTTAGACCAGCCGCCAAGCGTCAGGGCACATTGGGGGCGATAGCAGATGCCCTGGAGCCTCAGCATCTCCTGATGAAATTCTAAACAAATAGTGCCAGTTAGTGAGCGGACGCCCCCAAAGGGGGCGTCTGACTGCCAGGGTAGCTCGTGACTTTTGGGCTGCCATTCGGTCCAAACCCGTAACGAAGCGGCGTCTCGTTGGGACGTAGATCTGGGACTTGGGGCTCACGCATGGCGACACTTCCGTCATCATCGACGAGAAACGTAACGTCTGCGACAGATCCATCACCTGTCGATCAAACCGAAACTTAAAACCGTGATTTCAACCCCTGTGACTTGGGAATGGGGCCCCCCCTCGCTCTGCAGACTCTGGTCTATTCCCCCTTCCCTCCCGTCATTCCCTCCTCCTCCTCCTCCTCCTCCTCCTCCTCCTCCTAATTGTCCTCCTCCTCCTAATCATCCTCCTCCTCTTTTTCCCCCCTCCTTTCCCCCTTGCGGCCCTTGCGATCACCATCGTAGCCTCCCTGCCGAAGGAAGGCGCATTGACGTTGAGGGCCTGCAACAGGTCGAACTGACGATCGTCCAAATGGCGCAGCCCTGGACGAAGCTGCATGGTGGACTCATCCGGGCGAGAAGGCCGCCACCACTGGCGACCAGTGTCTGCGGCCCTGTCCATGTGATCATCCACCCACTGCGGCACAATGTCCGTGGATGAGCGGGCCTTCTTGGTCGGGCGCGGGGGGGTACCATTGCCAGCATGCTGCTTGCGGGGAGGCGTCTTGTACTTGGCGCCCTCCGCGGTCTTCAGAAAGCGCTGGACGTACGGGTGCGACTCCGGGAGGAGAACGTCAGCGAGGGAAGTCTTGGGGTGGGCCGCGGTGAACGAGCGCATCAAGGTTAGGAGGACGTCCTCGACGTTCTCCTCCGTGCAGGAAGGGCCCAGCTTACTGAACTTGATGGCCACGATCCAAATGCGCGGGCGATTCTGTGGCCAGTTGAAGTGCGTCTTCGGGTTGAGCATGAAAGTCGCAGACCAGAACCCTGCGAGTTTGAGCTTGCTCTGGCAAGTCTTCAGATTCCCAGTGTTGTACAAACCCTTCACGTTCTCCAAGATGAGAATCTCGCAATCGCTGTCCCTGGCAAACTTTACCACACCTGAGGGCACCGTACCACCGTCATCATCATGATCATCATTCATGGCGTAGTCGTGATTCTCAATTGTCATCATCATCATCACCATCATCACCATCATCGTCACCATTCTCACACACTACTATCGCCGTATCGCCATCGTCATCGTCATCGTAATCACCGCCTACGTCATATGGTTTCTGCTTTGATAAGCTGTCGCACCGTCGAAGACCGAGCCAGTGATCAGGTCTGCATTCTCGATTGTGTCCCTCGTGTCACCCCTCCGCGCCATGAAGTTCTTGTCGGACACATCCTTGCAGGGGAACCCTGCGACGATGATCTCCCCGTACATCGGGGTGTGGACGGGCGTGTCATTCACGCAGTTAAACTGGCGACGAGCCTCTATCAATTTCCTGCAGTCGCCGAACAGCATGCCTAGCGACGGGAACATGTCCTTCAGGAACTGGCGCTTCCATTCCGAGAGCTCGCTGCTGAAGACATGGTTGACCGAGGCTTGGACACCGAAAGTCTGGAAGGCGTCAGCGACGCCGTGGGCTGCCAAGACCGGCGAGTCAGTGCCGGAGCACATGGTGACCACCTGCAACTGGCCATCAGTCCGACGGAGGTACTCCTTCACAGCTACGCGGTGGCTCTCGCTAGCCCCTGCGTGCAGCAAGGCCGCAGCGAAGTCGCGCAAGAGGTCCTGTGGGGTCTCGCTTTTCCTCCTCCATCGAATCGTCATCTCCTCTTCTTCCTTTCTGCTCCTCCGCCTCTGCCTCCTCCTCCGCCCCCTCCTCGCCTTCCCTCTCCTCCTCCTCCTCCTCGTCCTCCGCTCCTTCCTCCTCCTCCTCCTCCCCCTCCTCCACCCCCTCATCGCCCATTTCTCCCCCGTGCCAGGCTCCGACTCGACAGCGGGAGGTTGCCCTGGCAAAGTGCGACAAGGCGACGGCTCGTAGCACTTTCCGCGCGGCGTATCCACAGTCGACATAGGGCAGGGCCCGGGACGTTCAGAGGGGCTGAGTACTGTAATGATGGGGGCCAGCCAGCATCAAACGCTCGTGC